CCCCCCCCCCCCCCCCCCCCGATTTCGGAGATTCCTCGCGGACGTATCCTCTCGAGGGCGAATGAAACGAGCGAAAGATAAATAAACGATCCTAGAAATGCATAATCCCTTGGTGGTTAAGAACCTCCCCCGTATAGTATTTCTCGCGAAAATCCCGTAAAAGAGCGGCAACGGATGTGCACTTTGACGAGTCGGAAGTCGCTCCCATTATTCAGTCATCGCTTGGTTATCGCGCATTTACGTCTCTCTCGTTGCTCTTTGTTCTATTTTATAGATTTACGCGCGCGTAATACTTATACGACGTTCTAGGATGCTATATCTTCTGTAATGTTTCCTTCCGATAGTTTAATACACACTATTCGTGCACGTCGTTTATATTATAAAATAGTACTATCGCACAAGTATTATATTAGTATTTGTATATAAGATGAAACATAAAGTATAAATATGAAAAATCTGCAAGTATATATATATATATATATATCACACATAATAAAGTTCTCGATTGGATAAGAAATTTGTGTTCAGAAAAATCAATTATAATTAATAATAGATAAATTTTACGTTTGGCAATCCAAGAATAAAAATAAATAAATAGATATAAAAAAATTACATCTTTTTATTTCCTATTGATGATGATAGATAGAATGATTAGCTCAATTGCGTTATATTAAAATTATCTCGATACAAGACAGCAATAACGCCGAAACGCAGGATATATTAGAAATGTATGAAAGTGGGACTTTTTTCTTTATATCTTTGATACTTTATCCATATATTTTTCCCCTCTTCCTTTTAGCCCTTTTTTCTCATATCGATGGAAGAACAATTCTTGCGTGTCGCGACCTTTTGCACGATCGCTCATAACGCAAAAGTGGGAAAGTCTTGAGCGACTCTTTGTCGAGTGTGATCACCGTTGCGTGCGCGAGTCACTCGATTATCGATAAAGTAATTAGAGAAATATAGACGGATGTGCGCGCGGTGCACCCCGAGAGTTGTTGTAACACGACGCGCCAGCTTTTGTTCTATCGACTAACTCAGGATTTAGGTTACGGTGTCAGGATGCGTAGCGCGACCGTTTCCTTTATTTGACAAACGGTCAAGGGTAAGAAGAGATTCAGAGCGCACACGACGTAATATCCTTACACTAATTAAAATCGAAAACTTAATTTAATGTGCATTTCAGACTAGTTATATCTGACTGAACGGTCACAGTTGTGTTTAGAGTTTAGATCGTTACAGCAAAAAAATCCATTAATCATTCTAGAAGAATTTAATGCTGCTGTTATTAAAAATCTCGAAGTTTACATTATTTGTTTTTAGACAATAAGAAAATTAATACAGATGCTTATAAAGCATAAGATGATTTATCAACGGACTGGAAATATTTTTCTGGAGAATTTCTTGTAGAATTTCTGGTTGGCGATTCCAAAATCTCGCTTCGTGTGCAGCAGAAATGGGCTTGGTTGGTTTTTTTTTTTTTTGTATGCCCGCGATATATGCTTCTATTATCGAAACATGAGATGGTGCTGGCACGTCGCAGTGCCAACAACCCCCCGGTCGAAGCTCGGCCTTCGTCGTCGCGTACGCGATCCAAGATCCAAACCGTAAAAACTGCCGCAGCGTGCCAAGTATGCTCGCATTTTTCTCCTTTCAGGCTACGCGGCCAACGATTATAACTTATTTGCCGCACGAACGTCTTTTAACGAAGGTTCCCTATATACATAGCTCGCACGTAGTAAATCACGTTGTGTGTACATCGTTTAAATATTTGCCGCATCGACAAGCGGTTTTCTTTAATTATGCTGATTGGCGTGCTAGTTTCTTTTTTTTTTTTCCTTTACAATTTCAACGAGCGAATATCCAGCGGAAAGAATGTATACATTCGTACATATATACATATGTATATACTCGAATTAGGTTGCCGAGAGTTGTGAATAAAGAGATGCGGTGATTTTAACGACTCTTTATAGCATAAACGAAAGCCGGTAATTAGAGAAGCTCTCTTTCTCTCTCTCTCTTTTTCTTTCTAAAAGTGGAACAAATTCGCAAACAAATAGAAAGAGATGGAGCGAATCCTTTTGACACGGCTAGCTATTTATCCGATTGCGGATCGCGATATATTTAAAATATACTGACGCGTCGTAGTCCATTGTGTGCAGGCAATGTTTATTTTATCTCTGCGCAGACTTCATTAATTTCACTTGCATTTTTCGCCAGTGCTCTTCGCGTAATTAGCCGACAGAAAGACGTAAAAAGCAAAAGATGCGATTACGATCGGATGGATATGAAATAAATGTGGCCTGAAATTTAGCTTTGCCTTTTATTTTTCAACAAACTTATAAATTATGTTCAAGGCGAACTTATAAATTGCGTTGTTTTTCTTCCACAATGTGCCGTGCGTCACGTCGAACGCAAAGTCGTAGTAGTTGGTAAACAAATATTATCGACAGCCAGTCTCTCTCTCTATCTCTTCATTTATAGACGAGACGATCTAGATTTAATAATTCCAGTTCAATGATTTAATGTTCTTCTGTAGGTTATTATTATAACTATGATATACATATAAAAGAAAAATTTAAAGAAAGGAAATTTACTTAATCAAAGTAACCGCTATGCAACCGTCATCGGCTATCTTGCATCAAATATTGTGTTAGAATATGTGTTAGAAAAATATTTCAAATAAGTTTATCTTATATATAAGTCAATTTGCCTTTATCTTTTAAATTCCATCTACGACACAAATAGAGAAAATTATTGAATCGAAATTAATTAAATAATATTGGTACAAAAAAATTCTTTTTGTGGACGATACTCGATAGTAAATGAAACAGTAACGACGCACTTTGACAGAATCGTGCTGGCTTAATTTCGCGCGTACAGGACACATGGTTCTAAATTGGCTTAATGGATGCGAGCGGATGCGAATAGTCGTAGAATAGAGACGACGAAGACGACGACAAGAGTAACGTCGGCATCGTCACGTTGCGCATTTAGGTTGAAATTACCCGACTGTCCGTCGCTCGGACGCTTTCAAGGCGCGATTTATAGAACAGAAATAAATCTCTGCGAAAGAAGAGAGAGCGCGAACTGTTATCTCAGGTGATTTGTGATAGAACGTTGGGAGTCTACAAATGGTGAAGTTGGGATTGACAAATCTGGCTGCTATTCTCAGAGGATATAGTTTCCATACTAGAAACGGCTGGTGATTTTCTCGGCTTTGCTGATACGAATTTCACCAAATATCATTTCACGACGGCACATCATTGTTAATTTTATATTATTTAATCTGCATATATGCATATATACATCGATTATATATATGTAATTACTTTATTCTCTTTAGATAAATAACTCTCTCAGAAATGATGCAAAAAGAAATTAATAAAATCTTTGGTTGCTTTGAAGAATTCTGCAAAAAAAAATTTCTTGAAAAATATTTTAATTCTTTTTTTAAGTTATATATTGCGTAGGAGCAAAATATAGGAATAGAAATGGGGATATATTCCCTTGAATATGTTTTTTCTTCATCATTCTCTCCTATTAGATATAAAAATTATTAGTTCCAGATCTTTAGCAACTGACTGTTATTCGAATAACTATCTAGAATAAAGAATAACATGCAACTGGAATGTACCAATAAAAATACAATCGAGATTAAACGATATGTTCAATTTTCTGAAATCTCGCTTTTCTTTAATAATATTTTATATGTTTGCGCAGGCGAAAGCAAGATGAAGTGCAAGTCCTCGAAGAAACAATACGGATGCGTTCGGAGAAACACAAAAAGGCAGGTGTGGAGCTAAATGCTACATGTCACATATGCTTGAAAACCAAGTTTGCCGACGGCGTCGGCCACATCTGCAACTACTGCGACATCCGGTGCTGCGCACGCTGCGGCGGAAAGGTCACTTTACGGTCAAGCAAGGTAAGAGAAAAAGCATGCAAATAAATAGTTAGAAAAATCCTGAGGTCAGATTGATTGAATCGGTTGCAAGTATCTGTCCTGACGTATTTCTTCTGTCGTGTTATATTCGGCGTTAGACTCGGCATGTGTAGAGAAACCTTTCGAAGGCATTGACGTAAAAAGATCATACGTAGACAATTAAAATAGAAAGAAATATCTGAAGAATATAATGCACGATAATCAAATTGATATTAATGCGTTTAATGTAAAATAATACGCCTTTGTGTTAAGCGATTCTCTCTCTCAATGGATATATAAATTATTTTAACAAAATAACGAACAAAAAATAAGTAAAGGAATGTGTAAAATAAAGAATGTTATATTGCGATGCAAACGGTAGTTAATCGGAGCAAATTTGAAAGTGTGGAAAATAAACTCATTAGGCCCGCACTGCTCTTAGAGTGAACTTTTTGTAAATATAGCGGTAAAAAAAAAGTATGTGTATTCTTGTCTTGATTTTATAAATTTTATCCTTTAGCTCCTTTTATCCTTTTTTATTGTATCGTCTTGGAAAATTACCAAGTTTATAAATAACGAATTTGATATGAATTATCAAGTTTGCATAATTCTCGCGATTAATCAATTGTAGATGTGAAGATGTTTCAATTTTTTTTTTACGATGAAGAACGCGATTAGAAATTGCGATCGATTAGACATACAAATTTGGATACACTCACCTTTTGCATCCGATATATTAAATGCTGTTCTGCTGTTCTATAAATTGACCTTATCATCTAAATTATCGTTTTACCCCGTCATATTTCATGGAAATTATCTCTCTCTTTTTCTTTCATATTTTATGGATATGAACCGTCTATTCGATTAGTCAGAATTTCGCGATTACCTCATTACGCGACACGGGGAATGACGTACGGAGGTAATATATTGCGATTTGACGCGGGCGAGTGCGATAACGCTATCAAAACGCGCGGGGAGAGAGCGGAAACGTCGTCTGGCGGACAAGGATGCGGACGGGGCGCTCTGTAAATGTCAGCTTCCTGGAAACGATTAAGTCGCATCGTAAGTCGGATAACCGGTATGAGCGTAATGTCGAAATACGTTGAAATAATTGACCCATATAGGCGGCTCGTCGCCATCTCCGTGCCGGTATACCAATTACCCTTATCGCGAATCTATATGTCGGTGGGCGTAATGCCGTCACTAAATAGCCGTCGCCACACTCGGATATGGGTTTTTTCTTCTCCCCCCCCTCACTCTCTCTTTCTCTGTCCTTCTTTCTCTTCATTTACATTGGAGTGGTATTTTCTGCTCATACTCGCGCGCAATTTCGACCGGATTTTCATCGACGAAGATGAAGGATTAACGTCCGGTAGATAGAGCTCAACATGATCGTGCACGACGAATATTGGTGGCATGGATATATAGCGTGTTTTTAAAACTTTGTTATTATCCGCGCCGAGATCCGCGCGGATTTTCGCGGACAAACAGAAACTAACGCTCGTCGAATTTGCACCGTTCTGTTCCGCTCGCGCGATTATCCCCTTTCTCAAATATTATTCTTATTCTCCTGCATCGGGTTACACGTTCTATATTCGGTAGATCGATTTATCAAACTCGAATCGTACCCTTTTCGGCACATGTTCCTCATGTTAAATAATACAGAAATAACATATGAAAGATTTTATCGATTCTCACACGATAAATTTTCTGTACAAGAATCTGCGAGGCATTTAACTATGTCGTTGATGGTATTTCCATAAGAATTTATAGATGCACACAGAAATTGCAGTCGCAACTTTTTTTGTGTGAATATAGAGATTCAGATTTCTCTTACGTGGTAAATAGAAGAAATATAATATTAGACTTTTCTCTCATTATTTTTAGCCCATAACTTTGATGTTATCGATTATCGTATCTCTCGGTTTTATTTAATGACCCAGTTTTGCGACAGATAAATTACAAAGATTCAATATCCGAATAATTGTCGAAAGGAAATTCAGATGAGATATTTCTGGATACAAATGCGTACATTACATGTATACACGCGTATATCGTGTAATATTAAAACTCTTATGGATATACTTATAACGGATCTTTATTTTTCACGAGCATTTCTTTGCATCCTTTATCCCTTTCAGCGTGGAGACAAAAACTCCATATTTTCCTCCATATTTTATTAAAAGTAATCCGAGCACTGATCAATGACGCGAGCGTGCGCGCGTGGAATTTAACGGCACTCGCGCACGCGGCGCGGAAATGTCGGAATCGCGCATAAACGGCAAGTGTAGGTGGGGTAAAGTTTTGTAGTAAACCCCCCTGCCCTCCCTTCGCCCCTGGATTGTGTGCACATGTGCGCGCACGCTACGCACGCACGCACGCACGCTTCCGTCACGGCTACACGCGAGTACAATGACAAACGTCATCGTGAGCGAGCGTCGTTACGACATCATCGATCCGCGCGCGCGAAACGGCAACGAGAGAGAAAGAGAGAGAGAGGAGGGGAGAATATCTTCCTTCATTCCAAATGAGCGAGAGAGTTCTCTTTTCCGCGCACAATCGGCCATTTAATCGCGTCCCGACGTAAAAAAAAAAAAAAAAAACAACAAAATTACGGCTTTCCGATGCCTAGCTTGTTCGCGCCGAATCGATATCGAACTGACCGCGTGTACGCAATTATATCCATTACGTCTATGTGTCGTCGTCGCCGCCGCCGCACGGTTTCTTTCTTTCTTTCCGCTTTGTTCCTTTTTTCCGTCGCTGCGGCCTGGACTCTGCGTGGGAGCCTATGAATGGGGCGCGTCCCTGCGTGACGTCACTCGCGGCACTGGTTCACATGGAGGGAGGAGTGGGTATCGGAAGAGGAGGGGAGGGAGGATCGAAGCGCGGGGGTGTCGGAGGAGTAGGTGGCTGGGTGGACGGTGAGACGTTGGACGGTGTGCAGGGGGCTACATGACGCAACATATTGATCTAAGTTTGGTAGGGTGGGTGCGTGATAGAGGAGTACGCGCGGAGGAAGAGAAGGAAGTGTGGAGGGTGGCGTATGACGGGGACGGGTAGAAGGAGGGTGGAATAAAATACACGCTGTCCGTCAAATCTACGCTCTTCTGGGATTTCTCAATGCATACAGTTTTACCTGAGATGTATATTGTGTTCTCTCGAGTTATGGTGGTATCAGAGAGATAGATGGCAGATAAGCGTTCCCCGTTCTGACGTTTGCCTGCTATTTCGCGCTGCGACTATGCTAACAAGATTGAAGCAGCCTATGATAGTAGACGGAAGTACAGACGAGAGTCCTAAAAAGAGATGATAAGAACGAGGAAATATCGGGATATTCGGAGAAAGGTGGAGGATTAACAAGACCTGAGACACATCATGGATAGACACGTTACATAATGTAGACTAGAAAGTGTGTGCGACTCGAAAATCGTCATCAGATTATCAAATGGAGCAATATCTTTCGAAGGAATAAGGAATGTGTCATATCTTAAATTTGAATTATTCCCCTTGAAACGAAACTAAAAAGATTTATTTATGAAGTCTTGTTATTAGTGATGAAATTTATTTTTATGGAGAGCTTACATTCAGGGTTAACTCTATTACAATGCAAATTCCACGTATTAATCAGGTTAAATTTGTTACATTATTATTTTTTTTATAACTGATTCAGTTTTTAAGAAAAATCTAATTCCGATTGAACACTCGTATTTCCATTTTTCATAACGCAATATCATGCGAAATCGTATGCGCGTTCCTTCTCTCCCGTGTTTCCGTCATGCTACATTGACGTTGATAGCGTGACTTGGAGAACTTCTTTTGATCAAATGACTATGCACATTTCCTCATCTTGAGAGTATTACACTTTAAAGAGGCTTCGTAATGCACTTAAGATATTCTTGTTTTTGATATACATAAGGCGTTAATATATAAAGCGTCAGTCAATTTGACAGAATTGAAACAGATCTATTCCGAAGTATTAGTTTATAGATAATTAACAATACTTCATAGAAACAACTTTTGAAACAACGTAAAAAAATAGCATTTAAAAATAAATGTTTATATAATTTTTTGAGAGAATTGTTTCGAGAGAGATAACTTTGGTTTTCGGTAAATTCCATTACGTCATTTCTCGCTTCTTTCATCCAACAAAGATGTCGGTGTTAAAAGTACATTTGATGTTGTTCCGCAATTTCGCTGTGACGTCATTCGCGATTCTCCGCGGTCGCTGCTTTTCTTCGCTCAAAAGAATTGGAGGGGGGGG